CCTGACCAGATTAAGTTCAAACAGGGCTTTGGCCTTCCTAATCTTATCCCCTGGCTGCTCGGACAGTTTCTCTTTATTTCTTCCAGGCTACCTGTCCTTGTTTCCACCCTCTGTAGGCTTCTTTTTGTGTCTGAGCTTGTCCAAGAGCTCCATGTTCATCCATGCAGGCCTCCTGGTGTTCTTGCCTGGCTTCCTCTTTGTCGGGATGCCTTGCTCCTAAACTTGGAGGAGGTGATCCTTGAATATCAACCACCTTTCTTGGGCTGCTCTTCCCTCTAGGGCTTTACCACATGCTACTCTCTCCAGTAGATCCCTCAGGAGGCCGAAGTCTGCTCTCCTGGAGTCCAGGGTAACGAGCTCACTGTGTGCCCTCCTCACCGACCAAAGGAACTTGAACTCCACCATTTCATGGTCACTGCAGCCAAGGCTGCCCTTGAGCTTCACACTCCCCACCAGCCCCTCCCTTTTGGTTAGAACAAGGTCCAGCATAGCACCTCTCTTCGTTGGCTCCTCTACCACTTGGAGAAGGAATTGATCATTAATGCATTCCAGGAACCTTCTGGATTGCTTATGCCCTGTTGTGTTGCCCCTCCAACAGGAAATCGGGGTGGCTGAAGTCCCCCATGAGGACCAGGGCCTGCGAACATGAGGCTGCTCCTATCTGTCTACAGGGGACATCATCTGCTTGGTCTTCCTGGTCAGGTTGCCTGTAGCAGACCCCCACTCTAATGTCTCCTGTCCCTGCCTTTCCTTTAATCCTGACCCATAAACTCATGGTCAGCTCCTCATCCATCCCCAGGCAGAGCTCCATGAACTCCAGATGGTCACTGACATAGATAGAGGGTGACGTCCCCTCCTCCTCTCCCCTGCCTGTCCTAAAGAGCCTGTATCCTTCCATTCCAACACTCCAGTCACAGGAGTCATCCTACCATGTCTCTGTGATGCCAACAACATCACAGCCCTGCAGGCAGCGCATGTCTTAACTTCTCATGAATAATTCCCATTATTATTATTATTATTATTATTATGAAACATACATGTTAGTGTGTTTGCATAGAGACATTTAAGTTGAGCTCCTGATGAAGCTGACCTACTGGCTAGAATTCCTTTGTGCTATTCTTCAGGTGCTCTCCTGTGATCCCTCTCCAGGCTCTGGGCATCTATTGCTGGCACTGACATCAAAATGATATGAGTAGCATGGATTGAATTCCTCTTCTCTGGAAACTTTAGTTTAAAGCACTCTTCATCAGCTTGGCAAGCTGATAGCCGAAGATGCTCTTTCCCTTCCCTGACAGATGGAACCTATCATTTCCCTGCAGACCAGGTTTCTCAGAGTCCCATGGTCTAAGTAGTTGAACGCCTGTATGTGGCTCTAGTCCTGTAACCAACTGTTGATTCACCTGATTCAACTGGCCCTTTCAAATCCCTTCCCTTTGACCTGGAGGACTGATAAAAAATCTAAGCTTCAATGTTTCAACAAGTATCTTTGTAAATTAATTTGTTTTATTAGTGCAGAATAATAGTTTCATCTTTTGATAGTTCTGATCTTGAAAGATGTCACAAAAACTGTCAGTGAAAGATTTTCAACATCATGATTTTACATCAAAAATTATTTAAATTTCTATATGTCAAAAACTATTCTGAAAGAAAGTAAAAAGTGCACAAAGCTACTGGAAAAGTGAGTATTACTTAGTCCCTGAAAACAGTATGTGGTACTGTAAGTATTAATTGTGCCTCCAGTGTATGTGAATGACATGCTTTTATTCAGCCTAAGTCTAGGACAAAGGTTAAAGTTGTTTGAGTAAACATGTTTGTTGTACAAAATATAAATACATGTAGTTTATCAAGTTTAGAAAATGCTTGTTAAGCATGACTGATTTTTTCAAACATAGAAAAAAAGAGAATTATGAAAAAATGAAAAGATGGCATAAGAAAATGTCAATACATGTTTATTTTAACTGCAAGTTTTAATTTAAAAAGAAAAAGTCCTGCAACTCTACTTACAAATACTATCAGGAATAACAACTGTGAACACTGCTTGCTAAAAGGTTTGGAACATAGCAGGAAAGTCCTAGGAAAAGCCAGTGTGAGTGGAGGTCAAACTAAAAATAAAACTGGAAAACCAGCACAATGTTTGGTGTGGGGCTTTTTTTGTTTGTTTGTTTGTTTGTTTTTTTAAAAAAAAAACAAGGAAACAAAAAAAACTACCCCAAGTAAACCAAAACCAGAAAAAAAACAAGTGGTGAATTGCTCTGGCTCATGACATTGCTTTTCAAGAATGAACGCTCTAGTGAATAGCTTTTAGATTCAGCACAGGTGCAACTGCATATAATTTTATATCCTGAGACACCAATATGGTCAGTTGAAATTACTGGGATTCTTTGGTATTAAGATCTATTCACTGATGATTACAGCTTTGTGAGCTATCACTAGAGATGTATTTTTGCTGATTTACTTGGAATACTTTACAGCAGGAATCTTTATTCATTACTTGTTCACTTGGGCATTTTTAAGATTACTTCTCTTGCCACTTCAGTTTACAAAAGCAACAAAAAAGCAAACAAAGCAATTCTTCCTACCTAAATTCAACCCATCCCCTTCTGTTTTCTAACAGGCCTTTCAAAAACAGCTTGAGTAAACAGAAGACTTTACCAGGTGCAGGAACATTTAACATTGCTTTTGCAGGACTAAAAGATTGTCAAAAATAAAATCTCAGGATTTAAGTCATTTTGAACATAAAGGACACATTTACACAGTGACTTTCATTTTTTAAAAGTATAAAGGGAACATCAGTCGAAGGCAACCCATCTAAAGAAAACCTAGAATTTATCTGACAATTGAAATAAAAACATGTATAGATTAAAATCACCTTGAACTGCACCTATAAGAAAATCTTTAAATATTACTTACATATAAAAACTAAGTTAATACTGTAACAACTTGCCTTTCAATATTTTTTCTAATCTAACTTCAAAATTTTGACAGAGAATGTAATAATTCTGAATAATTTTTAGGACCCACTATGTAAGCAAGTAATTTCTACTTGTATAAGACATCACAGCCACCACAAGATAATGCGAAGGAAGTGATTTCACAAAACCAAAGCTACTTCATCCAGTAGAAGGAAAGGATAGTCCTTAAGATTGACATGAAGGAAAAAATATCCCACTCAGCTTCTCGGCGACACACACCTGCAGTACCAGACTAACAGTGTAGACTAATTATATTTAGTTATGTCAATCATCTGAAAAAACCCCAGTTTACTAAATGTAAGTTTTTTCAAGTTAGCTATTTTAAATATGTAATTAGTGTAAAAAACCCCTTTGAGATACAGAGTCACAGATAAATCAGGTGAAGTCCTATTTTAGTTACCTGAGGTTTCAACTCCTTGAAAACTCACACTATCATACTTTTGTATTGGCTCGAACAGCAAACCCAGGGTTAAAAAAGTAATTTGGTTTACCCTTTATCTTTCAAAGTGTGCGTGTTCCTCTGTAGAGGCTGGTTTCATTATTCTGGATTCCAGTAACAACTTCATGTAATTTAAGACAAAAAAAGAACTTGAAATTGGACAATGCAAAGCTAACCAGTATTACCTTAATGGACCTCATACTTGGACTCCTACAGTCTATCTGACCATCAGATTATGTTTAGAACACAGAGTTCTTTAAAAAGACATAAAACAGCAATGCAAAATCACACACAAGATCCCAGGGTGATGCACTAACAGTAGCATTATTTTTCAGACCCCATTTTTCACACTGTTAACTGGATGACACTGAAAGTAGGAAAGAGCCTAGAAAAAGCCAGAATTTGTATCACTGGGGTCTGAAAAGATCTAGCCAGCACTAGTCCGTCTGTTCTCAGTTGTGTGACCATAAAACCAGGTTGTGCTGGGAGAACATCTAAGGAAGACTGTTTTCTTATGGCTTTATCTCCTATGTGCCATATTCCAACCTAGTCATAACTCCTTCACATCCCCTACAGTTGCTCACACAGACATCTGGAATAGCCCTTTAGATAACCCCTTCTCCCACGTCTGCCTGTACAGACCCCATCTTCATTCCTTCTCACTAAAAGTAGCTTATGCTCCAGCTACCGATCCATGACTTGAGCGCTCCCAGGCCTGACATAGAAGTTGTACAGACTGCTCAGTTAAAGTAACACTTCTCCAACAGACAGGACATTCATTCAGGTTCTTTTCCTCCTCTACCGAGCTTTCAGTTTTTAAAGACTTTCCTGAGACCTTTAGCACTGATCAGACAGATAGAAATATGCCTCATTACCTTACATCTGGCTAAACTGTATCAGAAGATACCATATGGATAACTGTTGAAAATATCAAACTTGTAAACCATGTGAAAGATACATATGTTGTTTAATGTTAAAACATAAACTGTGTTCAAAGAATAGCTTCATGTCATCGGCTGCTTAAATAATACTGGGATTAGTTTATATTTCTATGGTTGAAACCTGTAGGACTAATTGGCTCAATATGATAGTATTGCTTCCTTCTAGATGTATTCAAAATGGCAATACTGTGATCTCTGACATGAACACTGAGAAAAATAATTCAGACATTATTTTATAATTTTATGAAGAGCTACATGCTATTTTACACCTTCAAGTTCTTGCTCCAGGTACAACTATACAAGAGTTGTCACTCTCAAGGAAAAGCATCAGTCCTCAGCAAAAAAGGTGACTTTTGGAGGGCACAGACCCAAGAAGAAGGAAAAAGGCTTACATAAATCATTTTAGCTTTTCACAATGCTTAGCCCAAGCATAATTTTAGAGGGCTGACTCCTGATAATTGATTGGTTGGTGCCAGAAATATGCAAGAAAACCGGTTAACCTTAAAGCTGTACATATCCTCTGTTTTAATGCTTGGAGCTTCACAACCCCCCCTTCTGCTTCAGCAATTTTCTCCTTTGTCTGACCTTCAACTACATTTATATTATCCTAAACACAGACCACTGACAGTAGCACAAACACCTACTTACAGGAATCATCCAGTTGGCCAGGTCACCATACTTAGACACCTGCATAGCTCCAAGCATTGTCAAATCAACATGGCCTCTGGCAACAGAAAGTGTGTAATTAGCATATCATGTTCAAGTAACAGCCCAGAAATCTTAACAAGCTTTTATTCATATTCCCATTACATCAATACAAAAACAACGGCATATTACAAAGGTAGCAACCATTTTGTCACACATGTAGTTGGGTTTTTTTTCCTCTCTAGATGTAATTGCTGATGTAAATTTTTCTGTCTGTCTACTGACCCTCAAAGACGTTACTACTTTTGCTTGGTTTTGGCTAATTGCATGCACAGTCAATCAGCTCTGAACTCATACTTTTAAGTGCACTCCTTCACATATTTACATGCACTCATTATCTTTCCAGAGCCATTAGGATTTAGTGTTTGTTTGCATCCAACCTCCTTCCCGAAAAACAAATAAAAAACAGGTGCAGATGGTGAATTTCCATTAGGGAGGTGGAATGAGGATCATAGTTGCAAGCTGAGCAAAGAGAATATACAGAGTGCAAGTACAGATTAGATACTTGGAAATGATCAAAAAGTAGTTGTTAAAACATAGTTATAAATGTGTTTATATATGGCCAGGTGGTGGTAGACACGAATATCACTACTGTATCTACTAGTTACAGTGTTTTTCTATTTCCAATAGCTAGACCTAATCCTCTGTAAACCATCACTGATTAAGTCCATGACCAATTTACAGGTTGTTAAATGTGAACTACATTTCAAAAAATTATTAGTCAGTTCAGTCACTGATTCAGTTTACTCTTTTCATGTTTCAAAAGATCAGGGTTTGTGTTGTTACGTACCCTCTTATCATTGCAAATGATTCATCACTAGAGAAATAGGAAGAACCTGGAAGAACAGTGACTGTCTCCTTACCTGTAAAAGAAATAAGCTATAGTATGTATACATTTTGTCTCTTTGACAAATGAAGTCACAGCTATTAACCAAAAAATAAATTCCTTTGCAATGTGTACAGCTATGGACCTGATTACACTTACTATGTCACCTGTAAACCTAATCAATCATAATGAATTCTGAAGCAGTTTGTTACAGTTTTTAATGATAGGCTTGCCTGAGCTTTGACCACCAGCAGTTCCAAATAAGACATGGCTGACACCAGAATCTCTGTGGATTTCAGTTTTATGCTCTATTCACCAAAAAAAAAAAAAAAAAATAGAAAAGGGCACTTTTAGGACACAGTTTGCAAGGAAGAACAAGCATACCAGACTGAACAGTCTAGAGTGATACTGATGTAGAATACAGAAAAACAAATGACAGATCTAGTCTACTCTTGCTTTGTTAAAATTGCACAAGAAAATGTGCTTCTGTGTGCTGTAATGTGCTCTGTACAGTGGTTGGGTCAACTAATGGACCACACATGGAAGTGTCTTATTTTCACTCTGTCCAGAGCCTTCTCTTTCCTCTCCTGCCAGCACTAAGCAACAACCATGTGTACAGAGTGCCTCTGGAAAGGCATAAGAAACACAGCCAAAGGTGAAATTACAGACCAGGCATGAGAAACTTGAGAAAGAAGACTTAGCACCAGATGACATTGTGAAGAAAAATTCAGTGTAACAACAAAGGGGAAGAGGAATGAGACATCATAAAAAAGTTTCCAGAAAACATGGAAAATGAGACAATGAGATTAACTAAGAGGATGCCAAAAGTGAAGGAATCACTGTAGGAAAGTTAAAACAGAGACCTAAGTTACTTGCTTTAACTTACTGAGTTTACTTGATGTATATTACATGCCAAGATATGGTATGGAAATTAAATTCTGACTCACAAAATAGTATAGAATTAAGGTCATACAAGTGGTCTTGCAGGCAGATCACAAGAATTCACCATGCTAACATCCCCACCTGCAGAGACTGCCTGAATTGACTCTCCCTATCAGGCACCCACCAAAGGTAGTGAAAGAGACAACATAGCCTGCAAGCAACAACATGGAACAAGAACCCTGGAATAAAGTGACAAGCTAAGGCAATGATGACAAGAAACAGACACAGGCTGAGGACCACAGAATAATGTAACAAGAGCAGTGTGTATTACCCACTTCTTGAAAATGCTCTCAGGAAGTCAGTACTTGTAAATATTACTGCTGCAAGACAGAAGTCTACCTTTCAATTACAGTGGGTATAAACCATGTGAGATACTCAGAAAGTGTGACAAACAAAAACCCCATACATATTTCAGAGAAATACAATCACATTTGCAGATAAAAATTTAGCAAAAGCTTGAACTGGGAGTGTATTCTGAGTATGATACCGGACCATTACATCAATGAATGTGAACAGAAAACCTACTCCCCTTCGCCATTTAGCTTCCATTTTCTTCACATGGTTTTATAGATTTGGCTGGAAAGCATCTAGAATAGTCTCATTCCAACTGTCAGTGGGATTTAGCAGCTTCTGAATGTTTTAGCAATGATAACAATAATAATTTTGGTGGTATAGCTGAGGTTCGCCTGTCCTGTGTCCTGTCTACTGCAGCTTCAGAGAAGATGAGAAGGTGCTTAACACTGGATTACCAATGCTGGCATAATCTGATTTCCATGTTGCATTCTGACATTCCACGTTACCTTCAACTCTGCAGGATTATCTCTTCAAAAATATTTATCAAGAATAAATAAAAATTCATGGTCATCTTGATATCCATATAAAAGCACAATATTTATCAAGTTCTTGGGTATTTTTTTCCATTGTCACTCTGTTAACATGTTCATTTCTAATGCACCCATATTAGAATTAAAATTCTAATGTGCATGTACATAATTTCACCTTTTATAGTAAATGTTTTTTACTCTATATGATTTTCCCTTCCAGTGACACCTTCCATAATTTACCTTTTTTTTTCTTAAAAAAAAAAGGACCTCAATTTCACTTAAAGCATTAATACAGCTCTCAAGTGTCTCTGACATTTTCCTTCATACAGTGTATCACAACAGTTACCTAGCTACTGGTGAAATGCTGGATTCAATTCCTTAATAATTTCTTATTCTGAATCAGAAGATGGCCTTAAATAACTCCTTATTAAAAACATAATACTGAAATAGGGGCAATAACATAGCAGTATGATAATGGTATCAATTAGTTAAACCAGGTAGCAAATGTTTCAAGTCAGTGAACAATTGCTGGACTGCACCCTGATATTAAATTAAAAGCTTGTTTGATGTCAGTTCTTTATCTCCTTTGACTTTTCAGAGTTTAATTGTGCTTGCTAACAGCCACTGAGAAGGGTACTGACTACAGATACATACACACCCATGCATATATGTGCATGTATGTATATGTATACATAAATAAAAAATATAAAATGCATAGGTTGTCCATATGAAAGAACAACTCTAAAATGTCAGCTATGGTTCTATAACCTATACCATTAACATCAATAAGAATTTATAAGGTGCCAAGTTTGGCACTTCTGTTTGTCACAATGCAATATATAGGTGTAATTTTACATGGAAACAGAACAGTGAGTGGCACAACGTTCCATGAAGAAAACAAAAATCAGACAGACTCACAAAACCATAAAAAGCTTAGATTTTTACACTGCATGGCTGCTTCTGAGGTTAAATGCCCAAAACCAGCTGGGCTAAAACAGTACGTGAGGGCTGGCATTCTTCTGCTAAAGCAGCAAAAGCAGCAGAGCCCTCTGGTGTGCCTAGTTCTGTATAGGGAGCTCTTTTCCCCTGTCTTGGCTACAGCTCCCTCTCCAAATGCAAATGAGTTGCATTCCTGGCAACTCGCTAGCCAGGAATAAATCAGGATATTATACACGCTATGTTTTAAAACACATCCCAAACATAAATAATTGAAAACTGTTTTCTGGAAGATAGAAGGTGAAAAGTAGCAGGTTAACAAATCCATGTTCGCATATAGGCTTCATAAACAATCTCACTTCTGAAAAGAAATATTTGACCCTCTACTGCCTGGCCCAAAAGAAAGCTTCATTCAGTAGCTACTAAAATGCTTGAAAGCGTAAGCTCTCTAACTAGAACATTAAACACCTCCATTGATAAAAAACCAACCTCCAATTAGAAGAAGTATATTAATATTTATAAGTAAATAAAACAGGAGTCTAGGTTCAAATACTGAATCAAAAGAAAATGTTTAGATTAATAATAAATAATATTTTCCATAAAGTACATTTCTTTAAAAGATTTTACCTGCATTAATCAGGTCTGGATCGACTTCATTTTCAAGTGGATAAGGACCCTGGCAACAACACAGACATATGTAAGCTTTATATTAAAATACCTTTGAGATACAATTCATAACGGTTTATTGCTTCTAATGCTTATTACTGAAAAAAAAGATCATTACGGGCATGTTTTTTTTAATCTTTAGCAGAACAACAATGCTGATGATACACGTCGCAGTTTACATCAACTAACGTATGAGGACTCATGGGCATATTGTTAGAGGCTGTTAGAATTACTAAATAACCATGAAGTGGGGGGTTTGTTTGGTTCATTTTTTAGAGTTTTTGGTTTTAGCCAAAGTGACAAACATTTTTCAGAAAAAGGTATGTAGGTGCAACTTGGTAAAGTCATACGACAGTAAAAATAATATTCACTTTAAACTTTACTTAAAATTATGTTTGATAAGGCTTAGAAGGATTTGTCTTGCAAACTATTGAAGGTTCTGTCTCCTCCCAGCAACACATGTACTTAAGAACAAAGTAGCACTAAAATTCCGAAATTAGTATTTCCTTCAAGACTTCCCTGCCCTACAATAAGAATTTTATTATCATGCAATACAGCATATATTTGAATATGATTTTTAGTGAAATAATAATTAAGTTGGGTGTGGGCTGGGAATGAAACCCAGTCACTGCAAGGTAAACTCACTGCAATAAGTGACCAAGATACATTCTTACCAAACCCAGGACTCCATTTTCACTCTGTAAGTGAACAGTTATGTCTGGACTGATGAAGTTACTGGCCAACAGTGGGATTCCAATACCCAGATTAGCTGAAGAGAATTGGTTAAGGCACGAACAGGAACATGCTTACAGCAAACTAGTAAATAAAAAAAGTTATCATTGTACTATGATTAGATTAGAGCTGTTCTCCTCACAAGCACTTTCATTTTCAGTTAGATTCCTCATATTTGTGATTAATTATTTTGCCTTTTAGACTAACTGCATTGTCAAATGTTTTACACGATTAAAAACAAACAGTACAAGTAAGCTTCATTTCCAATGTACATAAAGTTTTCAAGAAATGCTTGCAAAACATTCAACTGCTAGCAAACTCTCCAGATATGCCTGGATAAAAACTCCAGATACCCTATATTTTTAACATCCCCATCTATTTCAACAGGATGCTAAAAAAATGAGAAAATTCCAGGCTCTGGGAAAGACAACGAGCATGGCAATTAATATGTCTTAAACAAAACAGCTGCAGTTGTTGTTCTAGTGAGTTGTGATTTTAACCTACAGCACAGCTGAAGGATACCATACATGCCATCCTCAAATTCTAAAGCAGCTCGTCTGATGATCCTCTCCCTCACATTGTCTCCTTGCTTTTGTTTCGCTTTTGAATCTTCAGGCTTTCGGATTGATAAGCGCTGCAAAAGAAGTAATCATAAGTAAAGATTAGAATCCAGATTCTTGCTTCTCAAGACACAAAAGCCTGACTCATGATTGCACTGAGATACATGGTCTAACGTTATTTATCCATCTTCTACAAAAAAAAGACCTTTTATTCCATCAGTTCAAGCTTATTTAAACTAATGAAGACATCAAATATCCTCAACGATAGCCTTAGAGCAAAATGTTATTTCTTTGTATTACCAAGGCTAAGAGAGTACATGATACACAGACAAATGGTTAAGAAGGCATGAAGCATTAGTGCAAATACTAGCAAGTCTGAGATTCATTACCCCAGAGATACCTAAATAGATTTGTAAAATGTCAGCCTAAAATCAAATGCTCTCTTTCTACGTTCATTCAATTCAGTGGTGCTATTCTAGATTTATATGCATGAGACAGACAAATGCCAGTCATCTAAAGATACTGGGAGCTAAGCAACAAAGTTTTCAAATATAAATCTGTATAATCTTGCATAAATCTGCCTGAAGTTGTTTCCTGAGATTTCCTGGATTTAAGTTGATGCTTTCTAAATCCCATGTAGGTGAAAATGCCATGACATTCAAGAAGTTTGTAACACGTTTTTTGTAAATAATTGCTTACAGAGATTATGTTCTTTGCACACCTCTCCCATGCACATAAAACTGCTCTGGGCAACATTATGTCCTGCACTCCCGTATGTCTTCACATCCTCTCCTACTTCAGGCCATAACTAACACATCAGGTAAAATTATCCTCTGTTCCATTTCATCACCACAAAAGAATTTTTGCAGTGTCTTTTTTCCCCATGTTGGGGAGTCACTTTCATATTAGGCAGCCAGTATCAATCCTGTTGAATTTCCCAGCAACCTTCTTTTTATGCCTTGGCTGTTTTCCCTAGAACTGGTTCACTTGTGAGTTACGGAAAAGGTAAGAAGAATCACAAAGGGTTTCTCTGCAGCAAAGAGAAGGTTGAGGAGAAAGTACAACTTGCACTAGAGGGACCAGAAGGACTAGAAGGGCTGGTGGACGACATGGAGGTTGGAGGCTGACTAGGGCACAGTGATCATGAAATAATAGATTTCTCTATTCTTAGAGAGGTCAGGAGAGAGCTAAGCAGTACTGACATCCTGGACTTGAGAAGGGCTGACTTTGTCTTGTTTAGGCACCTGCTTGAAATGATCCCCTATGAGACTGTCCTGAAGGGTACAGGGGCCCAGGAAGGCTGGGCACTCTTTAAGAAGGAAGTGTTAATGACTCAGGAGCAGGCAGTCCCCAGGTGCTCTAAGAGAAGCTGATGATAGAGAAGACCACCCTGGCTGAACAGAGAGCTTCGGCTTCAACTCAGGGAGAAAAGGAGAGTTTACAGCCTTTGGAAGAAGGGGCTAGCCACTCACAGTGATTACAAAGAGGCAGTAAGGCTATGCAGGGTGGAAATCAGGAGGGCTAAAGCCCAACTGGAAATTAATTTGGCCTCTGCAATCAAGGATAACAAGAAAAGTTTCTGTAAGTATGTCAGTAGCAAAAGAAAGACCAGGGAGAGCCTCCATCCCCTGGTAACAAGTGATGAGGAGAAGGCTGAGGTGCTTAATGCCTTCTTTTGCCTCAGTCTGTAATAACAAGGTTAGTTGTATTGATGAAATCCAGCCTCCACAGCCAGAATACAGAGACTGGGAGAACGACCCCCCTGCAATCCAGGAGACAGTCAGTGACCTGCGGCATCACATAGACACACACAAGTCTATGGGATCAGACGGGATACACCTGAGAGTGCTGAAGGAGATGGCTGGGGTGCTTGCCAGGCCATTTTCTATCATTTACCAGCAGTCCTGGCTGACCAGGGAGGTCCCGACAGATTGGAAATTGGCCAGTGTGACGCCCATCTATAAGAAGGGTCAGGCAGATGATCTGGGAAATTACAGGCCTGTCAGCTTGACTTTGGTGCCCGGGAAGTTGATGGAGCAGCTCATCCTAAACACCATCATGCAACACATGGGGGACAACTAGATGCTCAGGCCCAGTCAGCATGGGGTTATGGAAAGCAGGTCCTGCTTGACAAACCTGATCTCCTTCTATGATAGAGCGACCTGCTTATTAGATAAGGCTGTGGATGTTGTTTACCTTGACTTTAGCAAGGCTTTTGACACCGTTTCCCACAGCATTCTCCTGGAAAAATTGACTGCTCGAGGTTTGGACAATCACACCCTTCGCTGGGTAAAAAAACTGTCTGGACGACTGGGCCCAGAGAGTTGTGGTGAACAGAGTTAAATCCAGCTGGTGGCCGGTCACAAGTGGTGTCCCCCAGGGCTTGGTTTTGGGTCCACTCCTGTTTAACATCTTTATTGATGATCTGGATGAGGGGATCGAGTGCACCCTCAGTCAGTTTGCAGATGACCCCAGTTGGGTGGGAGTGTTGATCTGCTCGAGGGTGGGGAGGCTCTGCAGAGAAACCTGGACAGGCTGGAGCCATGGGCTGAGCCCAACTGGAGGAGTTTCACTAAGGCCAGATGCCAGGGGCTGCCCTTGGGCCACAACAACCCCCAGAAGCGCTACAGGCTTGGGGAGGAGTGGCTGGAGAGCTGCCAGTCAGAGAGGGACCTGGGGGTGTCGATTGACAGCCAGATGAACAGGAGCCAGCAGTGTGCCCAGGTGGCCAAGAAGGCCAATGGCATCCTGGCTTGTGTCAGCACTAGTGTGGCCAGCAGGGACAGGGAAGGGATCTGACCCCTGTACTCGGCACTGGGGAGGCCACCCCTCGATTCCTGTGTTCAGTTCTGGGCCCCTCACTACAAAAAGGACACTGAATGACTCCAGCGTGTCCAGAGAAGGGCAACGGAGCTGGTGCAGGGTCTGGAGCACAGGTCGTAGGGGGAGCGGCTAAGGGAACTGGGGGGTTTAGTCTGGAGGAGGCTGAGGGGAGACCTCATCGCCCTCTACAGCTCCCTGAAAGGAGGGTGCAGAGAGCTGGGTTTGAGCCTCTTTAGTCTAGTAGAAAGCAACAGGACAGAGGGAATGGCCTCAAGTTGCACCAGGGAAAGTTCAGACCAGATATTAGGAAGCATTTCTTTACAGAACGGGTTGTTAGGCGTTGAAAGGGGCTGCCCAGGGAAGTAGTGGAGTCCCCATCCCTGGAGGTGTTCAAGAGTAGGGTCGATTTAGAGTTTTAAGGATATGCTGTAGGTGGGAACTGTGCTAGGAGAACGGTTGGACTAGATGATCTCCAGGGTACTTACCAATCTAGATGATTCTGTGACTCTGTGACCACATCTGAGCCAAATTAGGCAGGAACTGCTATTTAAAGCCAGTAATAATTATGACAGACTAGCTTCTCGTTATTCTCTTTATTCCTCATCTCTCTTCTTACTACTTATCATACTCAATGCTTTCATGTGTACAGTCACTTCCTTTATATATAACCTTTTATGGAAGAGTAAATAAACCTGCCATTTCCTTCCTATACTTCTGTTAATGAGAGGCACCACTGCCAGAGTTAAAAAATTACACAAACAGAATGAATCTCTGTTACAACTATGCTGTACAGTTTATAGCACCTTTTTTTTCCTCCCCTTCTCACTTCCTTTTTTTCTTAAGCATATAGGGAAGGGGACAGTTGGCTAGGTAGATGTATTCACTTATACAGGCAAGCCAAAGAAAATCAGGAGTATAAAGGTGTCCCTGGACAGAGTCACCTCTTCATCCACTGACAAACTGCAATAAGAATAGCAGTTTAATAAATTCAAAATTAATTTATCTCATGAAAGGTAAAGCTTTTCTGTGAGATATTACATCAGTTCAGAATAAGGAAACAGGCCATTAACTGCAGTCTAACACAACATGCCCAAAGAGGGGAAAAAAAAAAAAAAAAGTTTGACACAACTGTTTCCAGTCAATACTCAACAATATGCAATATGCTTCCACAGAATGAACAGATACAAGAGGAAAAAAAGGGGTTTTAACCTTAACATTCATAAAAGAGTCTACTCAGAGAAAAGGTCTTGTGTGACTTGCTAGAACTTTGTGACTTGGTTTTAATAATAAAAGTTTAATTATTACAATTCCTTTCTGCACTTTTTTTTCTCAAGATGTTTTTTTTCCTTTGTGTCATATATCTCCCCCTCTACCAGCTCTTCTGATGAAATTTTGAATAATTCCCACCTCCAGACTATGGAGACACAGGAGAAACACAGAATTTTCAATGCACTTTAAGAGCACTGTCACATCACCAGAATGAATAAAGGGACATAGCTTGAGTGAGGCAAAACCACAGAAACAAAGAAAATTACATAATCATCTTTTTCTTGGATGTTTTCAGTGCCAGAATATTATTGCTGCGTTTTTTAATACTTACTGACATCTTTTATTCAGATCAGAAATGCCACTGGCTAAAAAAGTTCCCGATTAAAGAAAAGGAAGGTTCTAGGACCTCTGCAATGTAATGTAATTCAATACAAGGCACAAAAGGGGCTGAGAATGGCCCTACATGCCCATGTCAAAAGCTCTCAGGTAGAAAACAAAGTATCTAATTGTCAATGCTTGCTGTTAGTCTAGGTGTTCACCTTGTGTCCACAGAAGATGAACTGAGAAAAGAAAGGAGAACGAATTGGCATTTTCCATCAAACTTTCAACTGCCTTAAAGCCATCCAGGACTACAGGCAGTTGAGAGACTTGAGCTGTAAGAAACAAGGCTCAATTCTCAGGCCCCCACCTAACTAATAACTACCTTAATACCTACCTAAACTCCAGTACTTAGAAAAATTTGACAGGTCTTTCTCATACTATTTTCCCAGTGTCAAGACTTGGTGGCTAGAGCAATAACCCTGCATATTCTAAAATACACCCCAAGCTGAAATGTGACCAAAAAGCTCAGCTACTTACTTCAATTCTCTTCTCAAACTTCTCTCCTTGTATAAGACGATCAACATAGATTTTGGGAACATGAATGTCTTCTGGGGCAAATGCTCCTATATCAACAATTTCTTCCACCTACAGAGAGAAAAGGGAAAGTGAATATATTTAGAGTAAAGTATTCACAGGGAGATTTTATTAGCAATGAAGTTTTAATATTCAATACACAGTGGACAAAATACATACACTCTTTAAAACAGGCTATTTTAGAAGCTGATCTTTCCTCTTCTTTCAAATTATACTTCTACATACAAATGGAAAGCAGTTATGTTTTAACAGCCTAATTTGTACAGCCACCTTGAAGATATATACCACATAGTTACATCAATTGTTTGTACCTACAAATAGATTCTATTCAAGTAGAAGGAAACAATATGCTGCTAACAAAATGTCAAGAGTACAAAGCAGAAGTATGAAGCTGGCTTGAAGTTTCTCCACAGTGTACTCAAAAATAAAACTGAAAACACTGGTTTGTGTAAAATTGAAAGCAGCCATCACAAGTGAAGCAACATTAAAGAGCTTAAAATTCAATTTGACATCCTACTGTTACTGCACAATATGATCAATAATAAAATCTATAGTACATCTGATAGACAATTACGCTCCTACTGTACCTTACAGTTTGGCAATAAACAAACAAACAAATCCACCCTAAAAGCAGTAGAGGGAGAGGAAAAAATAACAAACTAAAGATCATAGGATCAGTCTCAGATGATACTTAAAAAAATCCCTGGGAGTAAACAGACAGGAAGAGACAAGTTATGAAAACTGTAAGGCAAAGGTGGAAGGAAGAGGCAATAACAGCCACAGTGACACCAAGCTCAAGCGTCCACAGAAAGCAGAGTCACACATCCAGAATGTCCTTATCCACAAGATAAGTAGAGACAATCAAATCAATATCTTAAAAGTTCAGACTACAGTATTCACAAAAAAAATTGTGCAATTGCATCCATGCCCTATCTTACCTGAACATTATTATTTTATACATTAATTTTAAAATTAAGATGGAGACCAAGTCAAACACTAGGTAAAATGAAAAATATCGTGAAGCACACAGCTGAAGCACACTGCACTTTCGGTGCTGTGACTACTATCAGAACATGCTCAAAAGGGAGAAGAATCAGAAGACAAGACTTTTCAATAAAGCCAATACACAAGCAAATGATCTGCTACCAGCAGAATTCCCAAATTCATCTTTTCTAATTAAATTTGTCTTCACTTATTAGGTGGAAGATTAGGTCTGGAGAATACTAATTGCTATTGGTTTGAACTTTCTCATAAAAACCCTACAATTATTTGCTGCAGTAGGTGAGATTATATACCCAAAATCTTTGCAGGCACAATTCAACCAACTTCAACAGAATTACGCTGTCAGAAAACTTGACACTGTATCTCTTTCCCCCCACAGAATACACAGAATAAATACTAGTCACCCAATTCCCTTAATTGATTAGTATTTTGTCCCTTTGGAAACTGCAGTCAGTATTATTTCTGTATATTATCCTAAATGAACACAGACAAACTATTTTGTCCTGGGGATTTCAAATGAGCCTAAGAATCCCTGCAGACTGAAGCACCTTTGTATTCACAGGCAGCCCCCCATTACTCTTACTGGTGTTTCGCAATTTCCATGTTCTACCATTATGTGACATAAGCATCAAACATAATTAAAATTAAGTATGTTAAAATATCTATATAGCAATAAAATTGAATTCTGTAAAGGGATTAAAAATTTGCATGTAATGTCTGCAAGAATACACATCATCCAGTGCTGCAAGTAAAATTAATCAGCATGTTTATATGAAAATGAAAGAATTCACACAGGGGAAGTACAAATGTCATTCAATTGCTCCAACTCTCTCTCCCAGCTCTACTAACAGGGCACTAGATGATACTACAGATGAGACACAGCAGAAAGGCTGCCAGCAGCCTCCATCAGTATTGCCAACACTGCTACCACAAATGAAGCTGGGCCAACGAAAGTGAAACTGGGAAATCTGATGGCTATGAGAATCAGAAACTTAACTTTCTGTGACCACTGCAAGACATAACCCAAGCATCTTTCTAGATAAAAATGATAATGCAAAAATAAATAGTACCATAGCTGGGCATATTCACTTCCCTTTCAGGTTCCATATTCCTTTATGAGTCTTTCCTGTAACACAATCTACAGACTAAGCCTCAATGAGAAATGCAGGAGAGCATCTTAATGAGAGAGAGCATATTAATGATTAAGGAGATATAATGATTATTGATTAAGGAGATATAATGATTATAATGATAGGAGATATAATGATTAACAATTAAGGAGAGCATATTAATGATTACAAGGATGTGTGTGAGTTTTCTTCCTGTTCTGCTCTCCATCTTATCTATCCTCCTGTTCTTTCTTCTCTCTACTTACCTTGCCTCACGCTTTATTTTGTCACGTACAGAAGAATCCCTGTAAACATCAAAAATCATTATGTGGCATCCCACCCAAGAGACACAAAATCTGGCGAAGCATACAGAAGGAACTAACTAGGGCAGACCACCTCCTTCATTTTTTTTTAATTAGCAAATCAAAATACTCTGGTACAATGCCTTGATCACATGTGTTCATTTTAAATCTTAACTTCATCAATGTGACAGAAGACCTTTGCTACACAGGGAAAGCTAAAGAGTAACTTCAAGAGACCATATGGGCTGAGTTCCTTCACCTGGGAAGGTTCTGATGCATGATTCAAACATCTTTTCATTGTTTCAACAGTTTCACAGTGTTGGTTTTCTTCCTAGGTATAAAAGGTCTTGCAAATCTTGTCTGGTTGCTGACAATGGGAGCAGAATGAATAAATTCAATCATTTCTGAACACTGGTTTATCTGCAAGTACACTCAGAACATGAAAGCTGTTCTCTGCTATGATTCACAAGAGCCTTCTGCCACTCCTTTTGGTATCAACACTCACAGAATCAATGGTCATTTGTTTCACAATACCATTTCCTTCTGTAATCTACATCTACTTTACTCTTTTTAAAGTAGTTTTGGGTTATTTTTGCTTATGGAAATTCAGCTACTCTTCTACAGTTTTAACTGAGAATTTCTGAAAGCTTCCAGAGAGAGAAAGGGATCCTCAAAGGTCATGGACTTCCAGTAAGAAAGATACAGAACTCCGGTTCTTGACCAAAAACTGGCATGGAAATTACAATGACACAACTATTCATACCAAATCACTTGAAAATAAAAAGGTCCTTCCTTTGAGTATGTACCTTTTAACCTATTTCTGCAGCCTGATTAGGTCCTTTATGATACATTAAATGTTTTCAGCTGTTTCAGTTATAAGTCTCAGTTTTCATAAAAGTAAGCTATAACGAGAAATGACAATGTAATTCCTTATTATGGAAAAAAAATTGAAAATGTGCATGTGTGGGTAGGTGAGAGAGAGATTGGGGGAGAGAGAGAGCTTAACAAAACCTATCAATTTTTAAGTAGCTTATTTTTACATTGGTTTTATTAAATCTCTCTATCACTATCTTAATTATCCTAGTACACTCCAGTTCTTCAAACTGAAATAATAAAAATACTCAGCAGACCATAAATAGAATAAAACATTACAACTGGTCAAACGTTCAAAACAGCAGAAGAATGAAATCAAATTTAGCCCCTTAGATGCTCAAGATAAACTCATTAGAGCAGTTACTGTCAGTTACTGAAAGCGTCAGGATGTCACCGCAAAATTCATCGTAACATTTATAAAATCCTAAGAAGCTAAAAAATATAATTTAAAAAACACAGTAAGGGCTACAAGGAAAAGTTGTGTGTGTCTAGTTCACTCGAGATCACAGAAACGGTAATGAACCACTCCTCATGGCTAATGACGAGGAAAAAAAAGTATTAATTTTAATTGTTTACACTGAATTTGACAGAAAACTTTGATATTGTAAACTAGTGGAATACACTCTGAAAATAGGTCAATGGAAATTAAGAACACAGTATACAAACTGATTGGGCTACAGGAAAAGAACAAAGCATGTTAATATTTACTCAGTTCTGCCTGCATGCAAGGACATGAAACAAGATCTTCTGAGTTCAATTCTGTCCTTTTCTGACTCTAAGATCAGCCAGACCATGAAATTTCTACTACTGCCAAACTCCTATGGTAATGAAATGACAGTCAATAGCCATCCTGAAGAAAAGACTTTTACAAATTTAAAAAGCAAGCAACTACTAAGTAGTCTGATAAAGGCATCTTGGTCAATAATCATGTTACACATACATCAGATTTGGAATAAATGTCTTCATAAGCATACTGAGGGGCAAGGGAACAGTAAAAATTTGTAAAGTTCAGATTTATCAGAGAATCTTTACCCTAATGAGACTGATCTGGGTCACTCTGAAGGTCCATTTAGTCCCATAACCCTTCTGCTTGGGAAAGAAGAGAAGCTTAAAAGACAGCGTGGTGTTTCTGGTTATATTCTCTAGCTTCTAGCAACGTGTAGTTTAAGGACATCCTCAGTCAGAGGCTGGACATAGACCATCTTGTTTCATAACTTCTGATGGACCATGAATTTTTCTAATAGTTTTCCTGGAACCCAAAAGACTCTATCATTGCATTTCTATAATGTAACTAGTATGAAAAACATTTCTTATTATCTTTTGTCATTTCACTGTGTGCTTTTGTGCGCTCTCTTTGCAATACAGGAATAGCACACATTAGTTCATTTGCTTGTTCCATACCAGTAAAGATCCTACGGTTTTTGTTTTTGTTTTCTAGTAGACTCTTACCCTCTGTGAACACCACAGAGAAAAACAGTGAGGTGTGTTGCCAGTATGTCATATCTGATCATTAGGGAAGCAAAGATGACATAAATCTCCTAGGTTTGTCTTCAGAGTTTTCATCGTGTAGCTACAGATCCTCATAAACTAGAAGCCCATGCTAGATTATACTCATTTCACCTTTGTTTTCTCTATTCTAAATCTCAATCACCTCCACTTTTAGTTACCCCAGGCTTAATTTCTCACACTTCTCTGCACCTGCTGCCTGTTTCTTCCAACTGCCCCTTACCATTCCATGCATTTAACCTCTTCCTCCATTCTGTAC